CCCCGGTACCTGAAGCGGGTGAGGAAACAGCACCAGCAAGAGGTACAGGGGTATCAGGAGTGTCCGAAGAGTGGTCTAAAAACAAGGCAGGGTCAGAATGGGGTGCGGTATCAAGAAGGGGCCCAGGGGTAGTGGGTTCATGGATTGGGTTCTCCATGGTTAGGTTACTCCTTTGCTTTTTGTTTTTAAGAAAAAAAAGAAAGAAAATGGAAATAAAAAAAAAGAATAAAAAAAGGGGGAGCAGGGAGGAATAGTTCCCAGGAGGAATGAAAGGGCCAGAAATCTCTCTCTGCGCCCAAGAGGACCTCAGCACCGCTAGTAGCACAGATGCAGCATGGAACCCGTGCCATACCCTACCCTTCATGCCAGTAAACCAGCAATCTGGGATAGCAACCTCACATCTGCCGAGCTACCTCGGTGGACAAAAGAGAGGGTGGCCGGATATCCACCACAAAGCATACCTCCTTCAGCCACCACCCCTGGAATCCGAAAGGTGGCTTCCAGAGATACACCCGTCGCCCGAAAGACACCCAAAGCTACTCCGGGATACCGGAGAGGGATCGGGACATCCCCAGGCGATCCAGATTCCACGGCAAACTACGCTACCACCAAGAACCTCAACGGAATGGGATGGACCCCGGTATCCTTTCCCCTACCTAGGAACTAGCGCTCCTGTGGGAGAAATCCCAAAGGCCAAAAAGAGGAAGGGCAAAAGGGAGGGGTGGGGAGGAGGAGGAATGGAAAAAGGAGAGGATGGGGAGGATGGGATAGGGAGGGGGGGATTGGGGGGTAATTAAGTTCGGTCTGAGGAAGGAGATAGACAGGTCTGATTCCTCAGACCAAGAGCCTTGTGGAAAATTTTATAGGGGTGATTACCTTTACATACCTCAACATTACATGCATACGAGTAATCTCCTTGGGAGACAACAACTATATTATTTACCGTAGTCACCCGTGTAGACATGTGAGAAAACTTAACCACCTCTGGTCACTGCAGGTGGCCCCTCGACCCTCACAATCTTATCCATATCTATCCGAGACCAGTATAAATTGGGTAGCACCCTCAAGTACGGCGCTACTAATTAATTGTGGACTGTATAGATTATATTAGTTTAATTGAATGAAGGGGGGTGGGGTAGGTTACACATGGATATATCCATCAAGGAAAAACACTTGTACATAATCTCACCACTTACCAGATATTCTCTGGTGGTCACAATGTAGCTGGATCACTCATAACCTATCCAATTACAACATACCTAACTGGCCAGTATCAGTCTGCTATAACTAGAAGGGTTACTTAACTGTGGGTGATTGATACTCCTTATTTCCTCCATTCACCATCTCATTTCGATGTCCTGCTACACTGACACGGTTCTTATTCCAGCAGGATGAGGTATCCGTCGGTTTGTCCCGGTTTAGAAGTCGTGACTCCATAAAGCGTTCACTATCCTCGGGACAGGAACAACGAGGTAAACATGTGCGCACACACTCTGGGAATGGCAGTTCATATCGCTTCACCAATTCCTTAATTTAGTGTTATTATCACTGATTACATTACGATTTACAAGACGGTTTAATGTCTCATGATTATTATACACATTGGAGGCCACTCCATTAAGATTTGAGACCGATGAGTGATGATTAAATCACGGGTATTTTTTCCCAGGACAATCCATGGCGACGTGCCAGTCACCACCGGTCCTACCATTATTCACTCATTTTACCACCTTATTTACAGTAGTGCCATCAATCATGTTCCCTCACTCTTCACCAGGGACAGTCACGACACTTCCTATTATGAAGTGAGGCCTATATTAATCCTTAGGCCGCTGTGAACACCAATTTCCTGGTCTCATGTTTTCACAGCCTCTTAAACCTATTCAAAACACTGCCGCCTCTCCCATGCCCTGAGTCGACCTCTACCCCCGCACATCCGCGCATGCGCAAAGGGAACTCCTGGTTCTATCCTATTTTCAAATACATTTTTGACCCATATAGACACATTAAACACCTATTAGGCACTATAGTTTCAGAAAATTAAAATATTTTCCACAAGCCTCTTCACTACAACAAGGAGCCCCCCTAGAAGAGGGGACGAGTATTTAGTTAGGCCAAGAGTCAAAAAGTATAATAGACCACAAGACAGGTCGCAAAAACCATGGAAGGGGGAGGGGGGGGTTGAAATTACAAAGGACGTCAGATGACCAATTTTCAAAAAACAGCAGTAGTGTTATAGACAGTAGCAGTAAAAGCAGTAGTAATAACAATGGTAGTATAGGTAGCTCTGGTAAGATTTGCGGTAATACCAATGTTGGTAGTGATAATGCTAATGGTTGTAGTATTAGTATTGGCAATAATAGAAGTGATGGCAGTCAGTCTAGCACCAAGTCCTAGTAGTGGAAGTAGTAGTAGCATTAATAGTGGTAATAGTAACAACATTCGTGGCTGAAACAGTGTCAGTACAAAAAAAAAGGAAAATTGAGACAAGTTAACCTTCAATAACAAAATTGAACAGGAGCTTAAAAAACAAGAAAAGCAACCCCAATATTACTACTGGCCAATGTTAGGTAACAAATTAAAAGTAAATAAAAAGTCTGGTTAAGAGACTGATCTATCAAGGTTGGAGGATAGATCTCAAAATTAACTCTCCAGTTTAGCCTCCAGGACTGTTGTCACCTCTGTAGTCGACAGATAAAGTTACTCCCCAAGCGAAACATTTCATGAATAATGATACCTGTCACAATGTCTCTTACCAACTTGGTACTGTACACCATTTATAATGTGAAAACAATACAAGTTAGAGAAATCTGGTCCAGCAAAAAAGGTATCAAAACTAAGGCCAGATGCAGTCGAAAGTGGTCTCAAAAAACCACAGGTTAGACCGATACATCTAAACTTTCCTCCCTAAGTGTCAGTTCTGTCAAGTTAGTAAACAAAGCAACATCAGACCTGCCAAAGGCATAAAATACGTAGAACGCCCACCACAACCACTACCCAAAGCCCGAAACCCACCAACATCCCCACAGAAACCACATGCAATAACAGATTCCACACAGCTTCTGAAGGTCGTTGGTGGGTTCCAAGGCCCACAGTACTACATAATCTATGCCTTCGGGGGAGATTACTCTCCCATGCTATATGCATTCATAATGCATGTAGCAGATTCTCCAATTCTATAACTTACCTATCCTACTTAACACCTAAATCTATAAGTTATTTTGATAAAAACTAAATAATTGTAGACCTACAAAGTGTTATATATATATACACCACAACTATGCAGCATACTCCAGGTATAGGCCTTACTAATTTGCAGAGCTGTGGCGGTGAAAGGGGGATGAAGGGAGGTGAAGGTAAGATCAAGGGGGGTCTAGGTATGATAAAGGGGTCTAGGTAAGATCAACCAGCCTACAATGTCTTTGTAAATATATACTGTATAACCCAATTTCAAAACAAATGCTCTTCCCCTCCCAAGACGCTCTAATACAGACTCTGGAGTCGTAAGCGCTAAACCCTCAAGGTTATGCTAAAAATATTTTTGGGACTTCAAAGCATAAAATTACTTGGCCAAGCCCTCTACAACCCTACTGAAAATAGGAAGATGTGGTTAATTTAACATTTCCGAGGAAGGTTTTCTGGCTATAATACATTCTGCCTAAGGAAAATTTATCCCGTCATGAGAAGCTAAAACTTTGGTTGTGTAGTTTTAAAAACAGGTTAGACAAGTGAGTGGTTGAGAGTTGGACTTGCCTAGCATGGGTCAATAGGCCTGCTTCAGTGCTCTTTCCTATCTTAATAATGGATATGCCTAATTTAATAGGCTTTCCTTACACCCGGCATCAAGACCTCCGCCATTACCCTCATCACACTAAACTGTTTTATTATAATTGACACACTGAAAATTTGTCTGGACTGCCTCCATGTGAGTTGTCTACCCTAGCAAGCTCTGTTGACACCGAGCCCTGAGGTCGGTACCTCAGCCTCAAGTGGCTTATAGGACAGATTTCCATAAATGACTGATGTTGCAAGAAATCTCGCCTGCATGCACGTATTAAGGACTAACTAACTTGGTGTTGGAGAATGTATCCCGGTCCTCAACCTCCCTAAGCTTTAGCCCCTCTGGACTTTCCCTCAGAACCACCTGCAACCGGGAACTTTAATTCCTGCAATATTCAGTCGGTATTAGTGACCTGCCTGCATCTCAGAAATTCCTGTTTCCAAGGGATGTGTGTATCCCCTTGTATAACTATGCAGAAATAGACACTAGCTTCTAAGCCTGATGGAGTGACGCTGGTACGTACTGGTCATGGGCTGCACAAAGGCCCACAGTTCAACTCACTCTCAATTTCCTCCAGAAACTGGCCAGAATACTGAGAAAGAAAGGGAGGTCTTGTCTTACTGTATGGGCCTGACAGAAGAGGGCATGTACGGTACTTCGAGGTGCCTCCACCAGATTTCCCCAGGTCTAGTAAGTGAAGACACGTGGAGGTGCCGCTCTGATGTTCACGGAACTTGTTATTCCGATGGTGTCTGGTCTTAGAAGGCACTGCAGTCTCAAAACCCCATGCCCCTGCATTCAAACTTGGGCTGCCAGTTCTCCCTGGCTAATATAACCTAGTGTTTGCCTACATTACTGGTCTATTACTACCTACGTTAAGGTCTTAGGTCTACATTATCTATAGTCCTAATATTAGTTTACTAACAGTATAAACTACCTACCTCTTCCTCGATTAGATTTTGCCACCAAAGTGGCTAGTTTATTGTGCACCCCATATCCATCCTGTGGACGGTAGCGTGAGAGCATATGGATACACAAAAGGCCTAGGAACTAGGCCCCAAAGGGTTAACAGGAATACATATGGATTTATATCTACATATCTATAGTTCACTTATCGGTTACAAGCAAATTTAGGAAATTTGCTTAATATACCTGGTATCTTATTTTCATTAATAAGATATCTTGACATGTCACATAGGTTATTATACTGTCTCTGTATTCCTCAATAAGTGGACAATTAAGCACATAGTGTTCAAGAGAGTTACCATATGCCTGATCACATAATTTACATTTAGTTTGATCATCATCTGTGTGTCTCCCAAACTGCCAGAAGTACTTGTAACCAAGCCTAAGCCTGGCCACTACAACATCAGTCAGTCTGTTCACATTGCACGTTGCTCCATAAACATACTTATCTACGTTCATGTTATCATAGTGGGTTATAGATCTACTCAGGCTTCTAACTGCATTCCTATAACAATCATTTTCATTATTTACTTCTCTCCTAATATTATTCCTAATGCTAGACACAGTTATACCAAAGTTATATTCTACATTCTCCTTCTAGGTACTCTTCTTGGCTAACATATCAACTTTATCATGAAGGAGTAATCCAATGTGTGATGGGATCCATAGCAATTGTACATTAATTCCTTCGTCCCTAATTTTTGAGTATCTATACCTGGCTTCTCCAATAAGCATGTTGTTGGAGTCATTATATGAGTCAAGAACCTTCAATGATGACATAGAATCAGTAATGATGATGGAGTCAAGCTCAGTGTCATAGGTTAGCTTTAGCGCCATTAGGATTGCAAACAATTCAGTTTGCAGTGTAGACGCCCAGTTGTTAATTCTTATGCCTAACTCAACAAATTTATTATTGTTCTTAACTAGGGAGGTGGCAACAAGAGCAGATGCAGCCCTGCCAGAAGACTCCTGTTTAGATCCATCAGTGTATATAACTTGTGATAACTTATTACTACCAGCTAGGTGAGAAATTTCTTCTTGAGCAGTTGCTCTAACAAGAGATTTAAGGAAGGGATTACTAGCAATGAGCTTCTTGGGAGGGACTTGCAGGTATGTGATATTAAATGAACACATCTTCCATGGAGGGGTGAAATGCTCTTGTTGCCTACAGTGATACAGTTCATGCAGGTTATAAAAATTAATGCAATTGCACGTTTTCACAATCCATTTAGATCTGTGTGTATTTACCTCTAGACACTTGGTCAGATTCATTGTGACAGTGTCTGGTTCGTTTCTCAAAATTCTAATACCGAGTACAATGTTAATCTCAACAATCCTATCACTGATACTAGAAATACCAAGCTCCTTCCTCATGTTAAGAACTTTTGTAGATCTGGGACAGCCAAAAATAATCCTGAGAGCTTCATTTTGCATTAACTCCAAGGGTCGGAGAGAACTTTCTCTAGCTAATATCAACATGGGAGCAGCATAATCAATTAAGGACCTAACATAGGCTATGTACATCATTCTCACGATTCTCACATTAGCACCATAGTTGGAATTGTAGCCAGCAACAGCTTTGAGAGTATTTAGCCTAGCTTTGCATTTCTTGTTTAGTTGTGGTATAGTGGATTTGTTAAAGGGTACATCTACACCAAGATATCTGTAAGTTTTAACGTAGCTAATGATTTCACCCTGCAAATAGATGGGTGGGGGATGTCGTTTGCTTGTTAATATCTTTGTTTTAGAGGATATTATGAGGCCTAGTCGATTACAAATTGCTTGAACTCATTAAGAATGGTATTCATCTTCTTATGCCCTGTTGTATGGATCATGATATCATCAGCATAGCTTATAGCTATATGTTTAGGTGAGGCAGGTAGAGCATTTAGGAGATCATTAATCAGAATATTAAATAGCATGGGACTAAGAACTCCTCCCTGCGGTGTACCTAAAGACATTTCTTTAGAATCACTTCTGAAGCCTTGGTAAAGGACAGAGGATACTCTATTTGACAGGTATCCTATTATCCAGCAGAGTAAGCTACCACCAATATTCATTTTGGCTAGTTCATGTAGTATAACGGTTCTGTTCGCAATATCAAATGCAAATTTTAGATCAAGAAAAGTGGTATCTGCCCTGTGGAACTTTAGGACCGAATAAGTTCCAACACACGCAATTACCCAATCAAGTATGCCCAGGCTTACTGCAGTGTTCCTCCTTTCTTATATGAACAGTGCCAATGGATATAAAGGAACATGCCCACTTGTGCCAGGGATCGAATCCAGGTTCTTCAGTTGACGCCACTACAAACTGAGCCATGATGTATCACTTACACATTTCATCTCTGCTTCCTACAATCTTCCAGAACAGCTATCAGCTGCATAATATATTAGACCAACTAAAACTTCCTAAAATCTAATCAGTCTTCAGTTCTAAGCTTTACAACTCATTTCTCCAATATTTATCTCCACCCCATTCAAGGTCACCTACAGAATACATTCATTATTTCCTGGCCAGAAATTTCATCTCTGGTCGGGAGATAAGCCAATACTTCCCACTAAGCTAATTTTGACATAAACTGCTTACGATCTTTCTTATATGTACTCTCACCACCACCTCCCCACCTAATACAATTACTCTCTGCTTCAATAACCAAACTTCAGTGGACTTATAACCTGGAAAGACAAGTGGGCCCCACCCACCTTTAACGACGTCTCCAGCTACTGCATCTCCACACATCTAGAATAACCCTCTTCAGGTATAGCACTAAATTTGATGGTCAGACCATTTACTAGTGTGGTTGTCTCCACCCCTCAGACTGATCAATGTTGCTGTGTTGATCACTGTTGCAGCACACACAGCCAGGCACAGCAATTACCACACCTGGAACATTATAACCATCAACATTACACACATATACACAAAGAAACAATCAACATCATATACACAAACATTACCATGTAATGTAAACTAACATTACTGCCTCATATAACCATTAACGTTTAACATAGTAAAACTATATTTTCTTTAATCAATATCTCTTACACATTAACCTGATGACTAACAATTTGGTTACATGGACCACAAGGCGCAAGTTACTTGGATCAAGATTATTATAATCAAAAAGTGCTAAGCCACAAGGGCTCTACAGTGCTGTGGGGCAGGAAGGAAGCGAGGGTATCAGGTGGCAAAAGGGAGATGGACGAGTAATAGGTTACGGAGAACAGCAGGGCAGTGGATGGTGAAAGGGTAGAGGGCAGCAAGGCATTGAGGTAGAAAGGGCTGAGGGGAGTGCAAAAAGTATCATCATCAGAGTTTGTGGAGTAAATCAGTCGTTGTCAAAAAGTCAATGAGAGTCATGATTAAAGGAGGGTCCATCAGCAAGAAGGGAAGGTAAAGAGAGAGTAGTAGAGCAGAGACGACATTGGAGGTAAATTCTGCGTGCTCGTCGAGAGAGAGGGCAGTCTAACAGAATGTGGCTAAGCGATACTGGAACTTGACATTGCTCACGGAGTGGAACAGGGTGTCTCTCCATGAGATACCCATGAGTAAGATGAGTGTGGCCAATGCAAAGGCGGGAGAGAGTAGTCTCCCAACCCCGGCACTGATGACAAGAAGACGGCCAGTAACCTATGCTCGGTTTAATAGAATGAAGTTTGTTACCGAGCAGAGTTCACCAACGTTGTTGCCAATGGGTGTGAAGGTGGGTAGCTATTACAGCAAAATAGTCCAGAAATGGAACACCTCTATATGAAATTGGTAGGTCATGTACTGCTGACTGCGCAGCAGTGTCTGCCTGTTCATTGCCCTGTACGTTGACATAACCAGGGACCCAACAAAAAAAAATATCTTTATGCTTGGTAGAGATACGGTGTAGCCAAAGTTGGATACGGAGAACTAGTGGGTGAGGTGTATCAAATTTTCATATAGCCTGTAGAGCACTAAGGGAGTCTGAGACTACCACAAATGATGACACAGGCATAGATGCAATACAAATAAGTGCTGCAAGAATGGCATACAATTCAGCAGTAAAAATGCTAGCCGAAGATAGTAAATGCCCTCGCATGACGCTGTCCAGAAACACTGGTGCGAATCCGACGCCATCTGAAGACTTAGAGCCATCTGTGTACACAGCGATGGCATGAGAATGAGAGTGGAAGCGATCAAGAAAAAGAGAGCGGGAAGCTACCATAGGCAGCTGGGCTTTCGAGCAAGGAAGTGAGAGAGAACTGACCTGAACAGCTGGAACTTCCCAGGGGGGTAGGGAAAAGTGAGATGCTACATGAACATATAAAGGTGGTAACTGAAGGGAAGACAAGAGCAAATGTAGGCATAGAGAAAAGGAATGGAGCAAACAGGGGCGGTGGACAAATAAAGAATGTCTGCTAATATCAGTGGCCATTCTATAAATAGAAGGATTGCGGAGATCGTGAGAGCATACATAGTAGCGAAGGCAATGGGCATCACGGCGATCAGACAAGAATGGAACATTTACTTCTGCATAGAGGCTCTCAACAGGGGAAGAGCGAAAAGCACCAAGGCATAAACGTAATCCTTGGTGATGGATGGGGTTAAGGCTAGAGAGAGTAGCAGGAGAGGCTGCTGAATAAATCTGGTCACCATAATCAAGTTTCGATAAAATGAGGGCTGAATGTAGGCGAAGCAGAGTTCGAAGATCAGCTCCCCAGGAAAAAAGATGAGCAAAGGTTTCAAGAAGGTTTAGCCGGCTGTGACAAGTTGCCTTCAGAGAGGTAATGTGAGGTTTCCAGGATAACCTACGGTCAAAGAGAAGGCCTAGAAACCTGACTGCATCACATTCGGGGATACAGGAGCCATAGAGGTACAAAGGATGATCGGAGATGACAGTGTCTAGCGAAAGTAATTTGGCGAGTTTTGGTACTGGAAAATTTAAACCCATGCGTGGTGGCCCAATTGGAAACACGGTCGACCGCATGCTGGAGAGAAACTGTAATGAGATGACAGTCAGCGTCTGCACAAGCATTAGCAAAGTCATCAACATAGAGTGATGACCAAATATTGGACGGAAGAACAGAGGCCAAATCATTTATAGCAAGGAGAACAAGTATTGTGCTCAGAACACATCCCTGAGAGACACCTTCAGCTTGGACAAAGTCCGGGGAAAGCACATTATTGACTCGAACACGGAAATGTCCGTCAGTTAAAAAGTTCTTAAGGAAGGATGGTAGATTGCCTTGGAGGCCTAAGGAGTAGGCTTGGGCCAAAATAATGTACCTCCAAGTTGTGTCATATGCCTTCTCAAGGTCAAAAAATATGGCAATAACCGAGTGATTATTCACAAAGGCATTACGAACATACGTATCCAAGCGTAGTAAGGGGTCTATTGAAGAACGGCCCTTACGAAAGACATATTGACTAGTGGAGAGACTGTTGTGTGTCTCTAAATACCACATTAAACGTCGATTTACCAGACGTTCCATCACTTTGCAAACTGCATTAGTAAGAGCGATGGGACGATAGTGGGAGGCATCATGTCCCGTAGTACCCGGCTTGCAGAAAGGGAGAACAATGGCAGATTTCCACAGCTGGGGAAGAACTCCTTGTGCCCAAATAAGACTGAAGAGGTGTAAGAGGACTACAAGGGCTGACTGATGTATATGTTGTAACATACGAATATGAATGTCGTCAGGTCCAACTGCCGATGATCGGCAAGCTTAGTGTGTTGCCTCCAGTTCCTGAAGTGTAAAAGACACATTATACTGTTCTTCTCTGAGAGAAGAAAAGTCCAAGGGTACTAACTCTCTGGCAGACTTTGAGGAAAGAAACGAGGGGCATAGATGGAGCCCCCAGGAAACACGGACCAGATGAGTGCCAATTTCAATGGCAACGTCAAGAGGGTTTGCTACATCAATACTGGCGACCCATAGAACAGGAGCTGGGTCAGGAGAGTACTTACCACTCAATTTCCTCACTTTTTTCCAGACTGCACTCATAGAGGAAGCAGATGTGATGGTGGAAACAATCTCGCCAGCAAGTGCATTTAACGTCATGGATGACACTGCGAGCGATCACACGCTTCTGCTTAAAATCAAGAAGTCTCTCATCGGTTCTATTGTACCTGTACCTGCCCCATGCAGCGCGTTTCAAATGTACTGCACGAGCACAAGCAGGAGAGACCACAAAGGAACTCCCGCACTTCTGAGAATGCCTGCTTAAGGTTTAGGGTATAGAATCAGAAGCTGCGGTGAAAACTGACGTCGAGAAGAGGTGTAGGAGCTCATCAATGGAGGATGAAGAAGGAACCTCACTAAAAGCCGTGAGTTGCGAGTAAGGGTCCCAATTTGCTCGATCAAACTGCCAGCGAGGGCTATGGAAAGGTGGTGAATATGAAGAAGTAAGAATGATTGGAAAATGATTGCTGTCATGAAAGTCCGGTAGAACAGACCAGGACTTACATGACAGTCTAGTGCAGTGGAGGAAGAGCAGACTGATAGATCAATGCAAGAGAGAGTATGAGTACGAGGATCAAATTGGTGAGAGTACCTGTATTTAAAACATGGAGAGGGCAAGAGGCAAGAAAAACCTCCAACTGGATGCCACGCGAGTCACAATGAGACCCCCCAGAGGAAATGGTGGGCATTAAAATCACCAAGTAACAAAAGTGGTGGTGGTAAGGATGAAGCAAGAAAGGCAAAATCTGGGATAGAAAATGCTCGAGAAGGAGAGAGATATAAAGAACATATTGTAAAGCACTTATTCAAATGGATACGGGCTGCAGTGTAATGCAGCGAGGAATGGACAAATAGTTGACAGTACGGAATATCATTGTGTAGAAGAAGGGCACTTTCATTAAAGGTCCCATCTGAGAAAGGATCCAAAGTATACAATAAATTATAGCCTGAGATAGGTTGGAAAACAGCCGAGCATAATTTTGGTTCTTGTAAGCAAGCACCAACAGGGGAAAACCTGGAAAGCAACATCTGAAGCTGTGAAGGCTTACTCAGCCCTGTAACAACTTCAGACAGTATTACCAAGGCTGGCTCCTCCTCAGGAAAATTAGTGAATAGAAAAAGAAATAATAACAAACATAAACACTTTATTATATAGAAAATATAAAATATAAAACACTTGAATATGAAATATTAATCCTACATTAAAGAAAATGAAAAATGAAAAATATAAATAACTGAATTCAACGCTAATATATATAGAGGTGTCTGGTGTTGGTGACACTGAGTGTTGAAATCGTAGCCGTTGCCGATGATGGGGGGGGGTCGCAGGTGTTGGTTACAACCCATTGGCTAGTTCTTCACAGTATAGCCTTGAGTATTATATCCCGATGACAGGAAAGCAGGTCCTTTATCGCTGCAATGATGAGGGGTTACGTCCTGCAATTTCATACAGGTACACAGGTAATTAAATCCAAAAAGGGGAAGTCTCAGGATGTTAGTCCATCTCCATCAGTTCTGCTCGTTGATTGGCAGGTGACCCTCTCTGTCATCCAAGCTGGAAAGATAGACAGGTTACCCACTGCTTAAGAAATCACTCTCCATGATAAGTACAATACCTAAAAGAGGTGGTGATTATCACAACAGTCAACCTAGAGCAAGACTGAAAGGACTAAGTTTATTATTGGTCAAAAGTGAAGCTTTCAACCAATAAATCCACTAGAATACAAGGCAGGCATGTACTTACAGTAATGCTGGGAGCTGTGAGTCTAGTGATTACTGTTTGGACCGGAGCCACACACATCACCTTTCAGGGGGGGGAAGGAGGAGGGGAAGGGATAGCGGGAGCTAGACTGACCCTACCTTAACAAGCAGCCGGCAGTCAAACTATTACTTTCGGGGTGGGGGAAAAAAGGCGGGAATAGCGGGAGCTTGACTTACCCTACCTTAATAAGT